TGTAAAAATTATGTATAGAAGTCTCAATACGAAACTTATATTTAATTTAAAATTAATTAATAATAAATAGAATAATCCTTCTTATTTTAAAGTTCGAATCTAAAGTTGAAAATTTTTACTAAAATTGCTTTTGAAAATATCATGTAAGTGTAAAAATTATGTATAGAAGTCTCAATACGAAACTTATATTTAATTCGAAATTAATTAACAATAAATAGAATAGTCCTTCTCATATTTAAGTCACACATTTTTTTTAATCATGTTTCAATATGTGATTTTACTATTTAACGCTAAGAAGTTTTAAATTAGAAGGGAGAACATCTATTTGATTCAAAAACTGCAGGAAGTTGTAACTCGTTTTCTTCAATTGTGGTTAACATTCCAGTAAATCAATTCCAGGAAGGAGAGCATTTATTTTGGATTAACTTGAAAGCTTCAAGAAAAGGAGGACCATAAATAAGATGCAAGTTTGAAGATAAGTATCCTAGAAGAAATATTTAATTTTCTGGTTTCTTTCTTTTTTTAAAAATCAAATAAATATAACATGGCGGTGATGAGCAAGACATGTGTTTCATGCAATATGCTTAGAAGTACATTTTTTGGGTTAAAATGTAAGTTTCTCTCCATTTTTTTGTTTTTAAACACCAAAGACAAAAGCTTGCTCATATGCTGCACCCCTAAAAAAATTACAACAAACAGCCCCTAAATATGCTCATCTCGGGACTTGGAACCAAATTAGAAATATACCACTTCCAATTTGAAATTGGTATTACATTGACTTTTTGAACCTATATTTAAAAAATATTTTTCATATTATTTATATGAGAAAAGTAAAGTGCAGCAGTTACAATACTCTCCATTTTTATTGACATTTGTAATTTTTTTGTATACGTAATTTGTTTTTTTTTTTTTAATATTTGAAAAATGCCTAATTTGTGTTGTGTTGTTTCATTTAATTACAAAATTATATGAATTTATATCAAAGTGTTATTTATAATGGAGGGTTCAAGTTTCAGAATTCAAGCTCAAATTAAAGAAATTAATTTTTTTTAATAGAAAGTATAGTTATTTTAATAATTGAAACAAATTTTGATGTAAATTATACCTCACCATATAGGTTATGCAAAAAATATAAATAAATTAGAAAGAACCTCTAACACTAATATATAAAATTAAGTATTTCTTATAAATAAAACAATTAAGAATTGTGAATCTCTAAATATTAATAGACGTTATAGGAATATCAATAGAATTATGTGACAACATACAAAGATTACTTTGAAACTACCAACGACCTGTTGGTTCAAATGGAAGGAGTTCGGCTCTCCTTAAATAAAGTTCCGAGTTCAAGTCTTGTAAATGGAGAAACAGGTACTGGGAGACCTTCCCCCCTAATAAAATCCACCACGACTCAATTCTGGATTAATCAAGACCCAATGTGGTTAATTACCAGATATCAGGAGGTTAGTGCAAAAAAAAAAAAAAGAAAAAGATTACTTTGAAACTCTACTATTGCTACTAATAATTTCATCTATTTTACCATCTAAACTTAGCATAAGAGATTAGAAGACTTAACGATACAGTGTTTTCCAATACTACAATGCTTTATCTGAGCAGATAATATCCCATTTATCTATTTCATGCTACCTCATAAGACCAACAATTAAGTAGCAACTAGCATTGATAGTCTTTTGTTTGATGTTGTTAGAATATCAATATTTATTTTAGAATATTATATTCACATTGTAATTGATTATACACATTTAAGTTAATTGGTTTTATACTTAGAAATATTCTTAAGTATAAAAAATATTTTACTATATAGTTTTATACTTAAGAATATTCTATTGTATAAATCTATATATAAGATCTTTGTATATATAATGAAAACAAGAAAGTAATGAACCTTTTTTCAAATTATTCCTTTTCTTTTTTGTTTTCAACATGATATCAGAGCTATAAGCTCCTATTTCTTCTCTTTTATCATTGCTATTTGATTTTTTTGGAGTTGGATTTTCAAATCCATTCTAGATCTGAAACTTTATTGTTGGAGTCTTTTTTCTTGCAAATTGGATTGTTTATTCTCAATTCTTAGACCCTTTTTGAGGTATTTTGTTGAGTTGTTATTTCGATCTTGGCATCTATTTCTTCATATTTTTAGACATTTTTTCAGTATTGTGAGTTTTATTGATTTTACGGCGAGTTTTGAAAGAACTATAACTCATCATGTTACTACTATGGTTGCCAAAGAAGTGATAGACCAACCTAATGTCAACCTTAGATCCCTAAAACAGGTGAGACTAAATCTTAATGCTCCTACTGCCTTATTTGTTGTTTTAGGTACCAAACCTTGGTATTTTGATTTTGGTTGTTGTAACCATACATCTTCAACTACTACTCATTTCTTTCTAATGTCACCAAATAATTCCTTTCCTAATATTTATT